AAAAGCTATGGCAATGTTTTTTGGGGAAAAGCTTCAATTACCTCATTAGTTATGGGGCATGAAGACATTTTATGGTTACAAATTTGCATACAAGATGGAATTTTACCCTGAAGGTAAATCAGCTATGTTCTTATAGGTCTTCTTTCCTCCAAATTCTCACTGTAGAGCTATGGAGAAAAGCTACAGTGCGTATCTATGCTAAGTCATGGATTGTCTTGGCACAGAGACATTTTAGTGTTTATTATATTAATACTCGTATTTCTATAATGTGGAACAGGGTGCAAATGAAAATGAAGTGGCTTCTCCACATTTAAAATTAGGCTGTTTATAAAATTAACATAATAACATAATATTACTGCTATTTAGGTGGACAACCTAACATAAATTTACCTCAACTGTTTTAGTTCTCTTTCCTTCCTTTTCATCATCTTCAGGGTTTTCAGATTTCTCTTCCTTTTCTTCCGTTTTAGTGTTCTCCTCTGACTCTTCTGCCACACCTACTGGCAGCATAGTTTGATCATTTTCTACCCAGTCATGAGCTTTTTTCATGGCCTGCAAAGGTCCCCAACCAAAGAAATATATTTATTATGCAAACATAGAGAGTAAGAAATTCCAATCTTAAGATGAGGATCAAGTTGCTCTAAACCTTCAAGGGCAGTACATTCAAAGAGTGATGGGGCAAATCCTTACCCTCCTTAAACACACCTTGTTGTTGCTTTCCGGTGACAGAAAAGGGGACAGAATAGAAAGCACGAAGAGAACATTACAGGGCTGGAGGACTTTTTAAAAAGCACGCTAAAATGATACTCAGACAAGAATAAAAATGACAATCACCTTGAAAGAGTGATAGTATATTTTTCACTTTTCACGACCAACTATAAATGAAAAACAGTACTTTTTTTAATACATAGGTTAGAGATCTAGCCAGGATCATTGCTAAAGCAAATTTCCTCCTGTGATATGTCTCATGAAGCCCTTAATGTTTCATGAACCTAATAACATATCACTCTGGGAAGATGAAAGATGGCTCTGCTCTTCTCTAGCCGTGCCAGGTCTTCTGACTTCAAGGAGAGAGGAAGAGAGAAGGGCTGTTGGGAAGAAGAGCATCGCTCTGCGACTAGTTTAATTTTGCAGGAGTGCAGATTGAGCAACCTGTGGCCTAAACCACGATGGTTACATTGAATAAGCAGAAACCACCTTCCCNGGTTTGGGGATTTTCAATGAAGTAAAATAATTTAACCATCAAGACAATTATTGATATGAATACAGTTTTCCACTTAAAAGAATAGTGTGCAGCTTCAAGATGCTCTGTAGAAATGTTTTTCTCAATAATCTTCTATGATTCACAGTTTCATCTAATCCTGGTTTTCTTTGCATGCTTCATTAAAGAACAATTGTCTAATTCAGCCTACCACCTTTTAGAGTCAAAACCACATGCAGGAAAATACCAGTGCTGCGCTCCACATTTAGAGGGGTATAAGACTCTTGCCAAGTGGATTTTCTCCAGCTTTTTGGTCATTTTTAAAGAATAATGAACACCCATTGAGGTGATATGTGAAATACTTACTTATGCATAATTGCATTTAATCCTCACAGTGACCTTATGGGTTACATTATTATTCCCATTTTATAGATGAAGAAACTGACATTTAAGAAGGTTAAGTAAGTAACTTGGTTAGGACATGCAGTAGTGACAGAACTGGGATTCAAACTCAAGTGTCTCAATATCTTCATTATGTTTTTATTGGACACCTCAAAATAAAGATCCTGTAGAATATGTTTTTAAGACTTATATCAAAACTCCAAGTTTATTCCATCCATTCCACTTCTAGGACTTTTCCCTAAGGAAATGATGCAAGATGAACACAAATACTTCACCAAAGCAACGCTAGTCATAACATCACAGATGATGACAAAAACTGAAAACAATCTAATTAACTAACAGTGTGGGTATTGTCCGAGTTTTAAAAATAATTTACGTATATGACTTTTATGAATAGTGATTAAAATGTTATTGGAAAAACAATAACTCTAAGTTAAGAATCTAACATGTTAAAAGATCTAGTGAAGTCAGTAGAGGTAGCCTTTGTTTTGAGAAATAAGAGTCCTTGTTTAAGCTATATATTCATTCATCCATCCATCCATCCATCCATCCATCCATCCATCCATCCATCCCTACACCCAAAATTTATCAGCACAAAAGGTCAGGAGTGAGGCTAGGAGATATCCCAGAGTCATTCTGTCTGTTCTTGGGCAGGTGGTTGGAGAGGCACTAATAATACAGACAAATGTGAGGCCTTATTACCCTTTACTATAAAGCTCGGTAAAGACAGGACAATCAGGGCTGGGCATCAGTAGGAGCTAAGAGCAAGGTTCTGGTCCTGCTATCTCTACTGAAGGACTTCTGAACTTCAGCACTCCTCTTTCAAATCAGTACAGCAAATATAAAATAGTACTTAGATATTTTCCTTCATATTTTAAACTTTTCCTCTTCCTTCTATACATTGAGTTAAGTACCTATTTTTTTTTTTAAGGAATATTAAGGGCAGGATTGTACAGTTCTTATAGTATCTTTGATTTTCATGTTTAGATATGAAAATCTAGACTAGATGACAAATCCTTACAAGTGAGGAAAAATGCCACCAATAGTACAAAGACACTAATATTTGACCTTTTGGATGGTCTTTTCTCTAAAAATTTGCTCACCAACCTGCAATGCCAAATTCACTAGTAAGTAAAGACAAGATAGCTAGGGAGGTGAATGAGTGTGTTGAGGGTTGTGTGTGTGTGTGTGTGTGTGTGTGTGTATACACCTATATATATTTTAGGAGGCTCTTATTTTGGCTCCTGTGTCTATATAATAAGATGGTATTTGGACCTGTGCTAATTTTCTGTACCACAACATATAGTCACGTGTATAAAAGTTAATGGTGTATTTTTCAGCACCATACCAACTATTTTAATAAATACTCCATACCAACTATTTCCATGTATATAAAGTTACATATATATACATTTTTATTTCTAGATAAACTAATAATAGCTTCTATTTATTGAANTTTATATATATATATATATATATATATATATATATATATATATATATATACTTGCAGATGTGGGTTATTGTACTGGGGTTACAAAATGCACAAGACACAGTTTTCTCCTGAGATCCTGCAGTCTAGAGTGGGGGAGACCCATGTTAACCAATAAAGCCCTGATGGTTATGAGTAAGTGACAGTGGGGGTGCCAGGGAGGGCGCTGTCAGTTCCCCTTGGGAGGTGAGAGGGTGTGCAGGGAGACTTCACAGAGGTCTGATGCCTCCCTGAACTGCTGTTCTCCCTGCTCATTGTCTTTAGATTGCCTCCTTTGAAACTATCCTTTGTAAACATTTAAAAATTATTTGTACAGGTAGCCAGGCATCCTCTGCAAAGCTGAAGGTTGATTTGAATGTCCAAAATGGTCAAAGTGCATGGAGAACCACATAAAACATGCAGTATGACTGTACAGTAGTAAGGCTTTTACTTTTTCATTCCGCAGGTCTAACAATGACTCTGGAGGCAGAGCCAGCAGAGGAGCCGCCATGCCCTTTAGAATATGTTTTAATATTCATTATGGTCACAGATTCGCACATCAGGATAAGTGAGAGAGGCAGAGAGGGCACCCTAAATGTTGTTAATGCAACCTGCACCAAGGCTCTGGGAGCCAGCTCGGCGGGATGTCATCAACACAAAGCCCATTAAGCATCCAGTTCAGCAGGTGGAAGCAAATGGGCCCTGCGTGATGCTCGCCTTCGCTCCTGTTCGCCCCGACCTTTTCAGACTCTTGATTTCAGCTCAAACACTCATGCTTAGATCTCAGGGTCATAGATATGCCTATATGACATGCCTACACTTCAGATATATTTTCTAAACAGCCGTTTTCTACAAGTAAAAAAAAAAGTAATTGAATAGATGTGTTAGAGTACAACACTTAATGAAAATGTACACACACGCAGAACATTTCTGTTTCCCTGTGTCTTCTAGGGGGGATAGCCACCCTCTGGGAGTGACTGCGGCGAGGTGTTCTGCTTTGGCATTCCCAGGGAAGGGTTTTGTTAGCAAAGAACTCTTTGCTCAGAATCTTTCTACTACAGCATCTCTTTTGCTCCCTCCTAGTCCATTCCATGCAGCCAAGGTGATGTGCACTGAATCGTTACTTCAATCCAATGATAAATAATAATTATGCACTCCTTGATAGATATCCATGGAATGCTAACTATATGCTTAGGTGTTGTTGGAGACACAAGGGTAGACAGTCTGCCTTGTAAATCTCTTCCCTGAAAGGGGATGTGGGGTGCCACTTTGAAGATTCTTGTTTACTGTTTTTATTAACTATTGAGTCTAACGGCAACAGAAAAAGTTTTCTTTAAGATTTACAGCACACCACATTGCCATGCCTATTTCCATCCTAGAATCAATCCTATAAATAGTAATGCTAATAATTAATTATACTTCCATACACCCTAAGTTTTAGCCAATGGAATGTCAGCAGAGGAGATGTGTGTCATTTCTGGGTCAAGGCTTTTAAAAAATGGGAGTGTCCCCTCTACACTCTCTCTTCTGATGCTGGTGGAATTAAGAAGGCAGCAAGGTCCTTAGGGGGTGGTAAAAGCCAATACTTTAGACTTTGACACAGGGGAGTCCACAGGGCCAAAGGGATGTATGTGCCCACCCAGAGCCTATGCTCCCCCATCTAGACCACTCTCCAGGTGACCTCCAGGTTTCCTTCCATGGCCTGTATGAACCTCTTCCCCAGCCTGTGCTCCTTATGGTGGGACCATCCACTGACCCAAGGCATAGCCAAGAGGTGGTTGTTTGCAGAGGGTGTGGATGGAGTTTGCACCGGGGCATCCTTACATAGGTGCATGAGGCTCCTTGAGGTGAGAGACAGCTGGACAGAAAGGGCAGAGAGCAGGCAGTAGGGTGGTGTGGAAATTTGAGGAGTTTGAGAATTCTAAATGGGAACCTGGCCTTCTGGTCATTGTGAAAGTATATTTGTCAAGGTAGGACAACAGAATATATTTTCTTTAACAGTTTGTTTCCAAAATTTATTTTACTTTTAAATATTTGGTATGTGTAGTGTTGCCATTTAAAATATAGGAAGTTTAGTTAAATTTGAATTCCAGGTAAACAAAGAATATTTTTTTTAGTGTGTGTGTGTCTCAAGTATTGCACAGGACATAGTTAGACTAAAAAAAATATTCATTGTTTATCTAAAGTTAAATTTAACTAGCCATCCTGTATTTTTATTTGCTAAATAAATCTGACAACCCCAGTACACATCTTCATTTGTATTCTTGCCAGAGGCCTGTGGAGTCACAAGGTGGACAGAACCTGGCTCCTGGATCCGTAAATGCAGGAAAGCTGCCTGCTGACCAGGCACCCCGATCTTGGGCTGTTCTAGGAGTGAGGATAACTCCTAATGGTTTTGACCCATACATTTTTAGGACTGCACCCAGTAACTATCATTACTAAGCCAAGAAAAAAACTCTGCGCTCCTTACTATAAAAACTACAAAAATCGGGCCAGCCAAGTGGCGCGATGGTTAAGAACTTGCTTGGGATGCCAGAGGGCCCCGGTTCAGATCCCACATGTGCGGGCCAGTGACACTGCCCTCCACAGCTAAGATGCTGAACAACAGCTCAACCTGGAGCTGGGCTGCCATGAGTCGCCGGTGACGGCATGGGCTGCAGTCCCTGTGGCAGTGGATTGCAATGGGCTACTGTGTGTGGCCAGCAGCCAGCGTGAGCGGCCAGCAGCCGCAGTGAGCGGCCGTCCAGATGCCGGCGACTGATCTGCCTCGCCAGAGAAGAGCGCAATGATGGTGCCAACTTGGGCCAGTGAAGCNGCACTGTAACATATGTCTTTACATATATTATCTAATTTGATCCTCCCAAAAGCCCTTGGAAATGTGTATCATCATCTCCATTTTACAGGTGAGATTCTGAGTTTCAGAAAGGTTATATAACTTCTTCAAGGCCATATAACAGGTAAGTGGTGAAAATGTTTCAAATGGGACGCTTCAGATGGTCTTAGAAGTCAGCCCTGTGTTGTTTGACCTTGGTTGCTTGACCTTTCAGCAAAGCCTACACAGAACAACCGTGGCTAAAGTGCTTGCTGATGCTATCAGGAAGAAATCACTCTCCACGTACATAGCAAATGTCTTACTGTATTCTGCCCCCAAATGGACAACCTAATCATTAAGCATGTCCAACTTTGAAAACATTGTTTCCCCTCTCAAGGAAGCCTTGCTTCTCACAAAATAGGTCCTAGTGTCCCTTGGGATCATCTCATTGGCTGGCTCAGTTCAGTGATTGACAACCTGACACATCATGCCCTGGTGCACCGGGTGTACTTTTTAGGTGAAGCGCGGGCCACTTAACAAGTACACCATAACTCCTACACATATAAATTAAAAGGGAGAAGAAAAGTACGAAAAGAAATCCACTGAAAGACCTGCCCACCGTCAACATCAATCACATTCAACAACTTCCACATGCATATAAAAAACTAGGCATCAGAGCATAAACTCTAGTCATCAGGACCCTGCTTAGCACATTGTAGTCCTTGTTCATTCGACCGTATGCATTTACTGCACGCCTGCCGTGTGCCATGGATAGTGCAGGACAACAGAGAAATGAAGATGCCTCAGTCAGAAGTCCCTGCCCAGCGAAAGAGAGGATTACACAGAGGTGCCAAAAATGTATACACATTTTAAGAAAGGAAAAACCTGTATTAAAATTGTAATACAATGGGGGCAGCCTGGTGGCTCACTTGGTTAGAGCATGTGCTCTGAGCAACAAGGTTGCCGGTTTGATTCCCACGTGGGGCAGTGAGCTGTGCCCTCCGCAACTAGATTGAAGACAACTTGAGCTGAGCTGCCGCTGAGTTGCTGGTGGGTGGCCGGATGGCTCAGTTGGCTAGAGCGCATGCTCTTAACAAGGTTGCCGGTTCAACTCCCACATGGGATGGTGGGCTGCACCGCTCCCCCCCCCCGCCCCCCACCCCCTGCAACCATTATAGATTGAAAACGGTGACTGGACTTGGAGCTGAGCTGCACCCTCCACAACTAGATTGAAGACTTGGAGCTGATGGGTCCTGGAAAAAACACACTGTTCCCAAATAAAATTTCTTTTAAAAAAATTGTAATATAATACAATGAATGATGCTAGCATTCATTTGATTAATGCCATCTTTTGAGTGAACGCCATACTATACATTGCTACCATAATTCAATTCAACTTCAAAAAGTAATACATAGTTAACATCTCTTAAAATGTGTACATTTTTTGGTACCCCCAGTAGATGAACATGACCAGCTCCTGCAACAAGAGCAGATGCATGGAGTGTTCTGCAAGGAGGAGCATTGAATTAAATAATTCCACCTCGTTCAAAGGGCTGTGCTTATTAATGGCATTTTCATAAGGATTATACCAACAGTTTTACTATTAACTGATTGTTTTCCTTTACCTTGTTCTTCTTGATTCTCTTCATTCTCTAATTCTTTGGCTGCAAAGGTGTCTTTAATGGAAATTAGGTCATTTCTTAAGAGTTCCAGCTTCTCTCCATCAAATGATGCTAAAAATGACTGAACCTGAAAAAAGAACTAGGTCAGCATAACTGCCATCCTTTCTTCTCATAGAACATTTACATACAGCTGTCCCCACATCTCCCAGGACGGAGGCAATTCATGGTGTGGGAGGTAATGCGGGGTTGAATGTTGGATTTACTGCCTATTAACTGTGCAACTCTGGGTAAGTTACATAAGCTGCCTCGGCCTCACATTTACATTTTTAAAGTGAGCCCACACTCCACTGTGATCCTTTGTGTGGTAAATGAAATACGAATGTGAAGCACATTGCACAAGTGCACACAGCAGATGCTACATAAATGGTGGAGGAAGGTCTTCTATCACACTGGCTACAAACCACATCAGTGCCAAGCCTGAGTTCAAAATATCAGCTCCTCACTTACTAATTATGTGGCCTTGGATAACTGACTCAACCCTTCTGTGTCTCAGCTTCCTTATCTGTAAAGTGGGGACTAACAGCATCTACTTTACAAGGCTGTTTTAAAGGTTAAATGAAATAATGTGTTTAAAAGTACTTACAGTGATGATTAAGAAATTACATATACACACAACACACACACATATATGCATATGTAAATAAACATAAATGTTACATTTTATATATATATATATATATATATATATATATATATATATATA